CGCTAGCTTCCAAAGCCGAGAGAGGCAGCCTCTCTCTCACTCCCTCTCCCTCCTTCAACTTTTCCCGAAACAGCAAGGAGCAGAGCTCCCTTTCTCCCCCCTCCTTTTTCCTTTTGCCCGACCACCATCGGCGTCACCGCCTGCCACTGCCTGGACCACGGGCGCCCTGCCGCCAGGTCCTCCTTGACCGCCCCTCCTTGACCGCCCACGAGGTCGGTTTCCTCCCTCCCAAAACCGACATCCCCCACCTCTATAAAACCCGAGGCGCCCCATCTCCCAATCTCTCTCGTTTTCGCTCTCGCCGCCACCGCGCCAATGTCGCCTCCGCCCTGCTCGCGCCACCGTCGTCCGTCGCCGAGCACCGGGGGAGCCGGTGCGTGCGTGGACGCGTGACGCGGGACTCTGGGCGCCCATCTTCTTCCCCTTCCCCGGCCCGACGACGGAGAACTCGCTTCCGCGCCGTTGGCTGCTCGTCACCGCGCCGTCCCGGCTCGGTAGTGCCTCCCTCCAGTTCCCCTTCCCTGCTCACCCTCGTCCCCTCTAGCTTGCGTGGTAGCTCGGTAACCCTGCCGAACGCGCGTAGACGCCGCCCCAAGGACCGCCGCCACCCGGCATGGCCCCACCGCCATTGCCGCCCACCCCCGGAGGCCGCCTCTCGTCGCCGGACCTCCACGGCGCCGCTCAGACCCATCCGACCCCGGAAATGAGTTCCTTGAACACCGGAGATGCTCCCGCCGCCTTTAATTGAGTCCTCGTCGCCCCTCGGTGATTTCCCCTTTCTCTCGCCGCCGGCAGCCGCTGTCGAATTCCACCGCCGTCGAACTTCCTCCGGCGAATCCGAGCCGTTGGCTCGCTCCTTCTCGATGCCCTCGTCACTCCGGTGTGCTCCCCGAAGACCAAATCCGTCACGCTTGCTCCGGTGAACTCGGCCGCCGTCCGCCGTCCATTCGGCCGCGCCCCCTTCTTCCTCCTCTCGGCCGGCCTCCTTCTTCTTCCCTCCGCCAGCCAGCGTGGCAGCCACGAAGGCACCACGTCGGCGCCACCTCGGCTTTGACCGCGCCGAGCCGGTCAGCCGCCTCCTCCCTCCCCCACCCTCGCGCGCGCGGTCCACGGTGCGCCAACTGGCTGCGCGTGGGCCCTCCACCTCTTGGTCCACCCGCGCGCCGCGCCGTGAGCCGCGTCCGCAAAACCCTAGCGCCCTGCGCCGCATGAACCCTTCCCCCATGCGCCGAGTCGCTAACTCGTGGGCCTGTCCCGAGACCCAGCACGATGGATCCGGTCCACCCGGACCCATCCCCCTCTCTCCTCCCGCGCGCCCCGCCCGCTTGGGCCGCGCCTTGCCCGGCCATGGGCCGCCTCCTCGCGCCCGCGCCCGGCCCATTGGCTCGGCCGCGCCGTGCTTATCCCTTGGGCCGTACCCGAGCCGCCCAAAGAAGTCTAAATCCCATCCCTCCTTCCTTTTCTTATCCAAAGGATTAATAAATCCTTTTCCCTTTTTCATAAATCAATTCCTTATTCCCAAAATTCCACAAATCATTTCCTTTGGTCCCGCGTGTCTGTGACTGTCAATAATATTCTTGAGAATATTATTTCTATAAATTCCATAAACCATTCCTCTTATTCCAGAAATTCCAAATAAACTTCAAATTCATATCTCCCGATCCGTAACTCCGATTGACTCCGTTATACTTCCAGTAATTCCGTAAAATTGAGATCTATTTAATGGCACTACTAATTAGTCTAAATAGGATCCTTCTTTTGGTCCTTTGTTTAGGTTTTCGATTTTTTGCGTATAGTTGCGGTTATCGGATTTTCGTCGATCGCGGGTTTTCTCGAAGATTCGTGAAGCTTCGTGAAGACCTTGAGCAAGGCAAGTCACCCTTTGATCAAATTGCCCCTATAATTGAAAAGTCATTATTATTTTGTTTGCAACTTGCATTATTAGAATCACACACTTAACTTGCTTGGCCTCGGTTTGCGTGCCAAATCGACGGACCTACCCAGTAGTCGCACTAATTTCCGTAGGTCGTACTACCCTGATTCCTTGTCGCTCCACCCTCGTGGTACCTCGGTATTTGTGCTCTCTGAGCGCGTATACCAAATATCCCACATACACCGTTGTTTGTCGAAAACTTGGGAAATAGGTTTGTGAAGCCTTCAAAACCCGACATGTGGTGTCGGTGTGTTTGAAAATAAAATGAATTGTGAAAACTCGCGATGCGGGGGTTGTGCCTATGTGGCACTGTCCCGTATTCGCATATAAGGACCGATTCCTGTGGGAAACTCATCGAACATAATCAAAGTGCAACCACAAGGTGGAATGGGACACCCTGGCTAAGTAGCTAGTCTGTTCAGGGAAACCTCGCATGCTAATAGTTGGGAACGCCGGGGCGGGGTCGGTTGGAGCCAAACCGGGTTCCTGGTAATGCAAGAACGAGAAGCTTGCTGAATTACCGATCGAGGTGGTTGGAGTTTGATTGGTGAACGCCTAAAATGGCCTATGTTTATGTGAGGATTTGATCCTTCTATGTGGCATGAGGTATCCCTGGGTCGGCTTGGGAAAGGCTTTGTCGCGAACCTCTGACACCGGCCAGTGTCTGGAGTAAGTTCGTGTCTTGTGGGTAAAGTGTACCCCTCTGCAGAGGTTAACTAACTGTTCGAACAGCCGTGCCCACGGTCATGGGCGGATGTGAGGTGGTTCCCGTTGCGTAGATTTGTTTGCCTGTGCTTTGTGAAAAGTTGTTGTGGTGTGGGAATCGTAACCAGAATCAGCCTATGTGGCAGATGGACGAACTGAGTGGTCAGAAACGAATCTGTGTGATTCGGGATGTCTGCGGGCATCATAGACTAGGCTTCCCGAGTGGAAGCGGATTGTTGTGCTGCTGGGCAGCTGGACTCTGGGAGCCGATTAATCAAGTGAAATGGCTCTGGGAGCCGAGAAGTAATGATCTGACCCGGGAGGTCGGTACATTACTAAATGAGCTGTTGAAAAACATCTCTTAAAGTCGAATCGAGACGCAAGTCTCTTTTCGCCCCAAACTTAGAAAGAAATAAATCACTTAGTGATTTCAAAATGTCTTCAAATAAAAGATTTGCAAAACAACCTTGCCTCTCTTCCAAGCTTGCATTAAACACCTAAGTTCCCGTGACTTGCTGAGTACGAAAGTACTCACCCTTGCTCTATATAAATATATATATATAGTTCCTCCGCCGTGAAGAGAAGACAAAGTGAAGTGAAGATTAGGGTTTCGTCCTGGTTCCCAGCCGTCGCCTGTGGTGTTGGGTGTTAGACCGTTGGTTCTGCTGCCGCTGTTGTTGTTGGTGTTCGCCTCGTCCGTGTCGTCGGTTGTATTCTCGGGCTGCCTGAGCTGCAACCTAAGTTAAGGTAAATAAGTCCTCTATTTATTTAAGGATTGCTATGATTCATATTTGTCACCGTGGGTACCAGCACTATGTCCTGGGACTGGTACCGAGATCGCGGTTTCGTAGGAAGCGGTTCGCGCCGTTTTCCCTACGACACGCTCCTGTCAGGTGCCGTTGTACGGCGGTATCAGATTGGGGTGTGACATTTTGCTAACCAAATTGGATTGTCGATGGACGTTTTTTTTCCTGCATCGCATATAATCGGATTCAATTTTTTTTCGCCCTTTATTTTATCACGGACGAACGACGGAAACATATTCAACCTTTTAAGTAGTAGAGATAGAGATGTGTTAGTTAATAGGATGGACCACCTTTACTTTAAATCCTAGCTACGTCACTGTTAGGGGTGGGCAGAATAAGACCGAACCGAAGAACCAAATCGAAAAGACCGAGACCGACTTTTAGTAATTCAGTCTCAGCCATCAAAAGACCGACTTTTTCCGGGCAATTCGGTTATTGGCTTTCGGTTAACCAAATTGTGGCCCAATAGACCTACGAGGCCCAATAAGCCCGGTAAAAACAAAACCCTAGAGGGCATCAGGGAGGGAGTCACGCCCGCGCCGCCTCCAATCTTATCCAATCCTCGCCGCATCACGCCGTCAGCCCGTCACGACTCCGCCTCCGCCTGCATTGCGCCGGTGCCACCCCCACTCTCCGCCTCCAGCTCACCGGCACCGCCTCCTCCCTCCGCCTCCATCGCGCCGGCGCCACCGCCGCCGTGGGCATCCATCGCGCCGCCTCCGTGGCTCCGCCTGATAGCCTCCGCGCCGCCTCCGCCCTCCGCCTCCATTGCCGGCGCCGCCTCCGCCTCCATCCTACCGGCCGCATTCGTCTCCATCGGGGACGACGGGAAGGCAGCGAGCGGCTACATCTGTGGATTTTGGCTTCTTGCGATGTACTGTAAGTATTATGCTTATTGTTTGATCTACTCCTCTGATTCGAATCTAGTGCATAATTCGGTCAGACCGAAACCGAGACCGAGTTTGCCGGTCCTGAGATTTTTTGGATGAAATTCGATCCTGAGTTTGCAAAGACCGAAATGACCGAAAAACCAAAAACCGAGACCAAATTTTTCTGTCTGACCGAACGTCCACCCCTAGCCACTGTTATGGGGTGTTTTTTTTTTCGCTATATTCTCTTAGAACTGTACATTTATAATTTTTATGCTCTCTCAATACGAAATATCGTACTACGTTATGCATTTGTTTAAGAAAATTGTTAATTTCGAATTTGCAGTCCAGCACCTTTTGGTACCTTTCGTGGGATGGTGGGCCATCGCCGTTCTATTCTCTGAAGTCGTTGGCTCAATATTTTACGAGTGCCAACGAAGACACAGGCACTCATTTCACCATCTGACGGCGATGAACTCATGCAACGATGGGGTTTCTGGTCATCTGGTGCATACACGTAACACGTCAGGACAACCACCATTAGCATCTGACAGCTACCCTCCCGAAGAAAACAAAAAATTTGTCACGATGTACTAATTGGTTGCACGCGATTTAATTATGCTTGTTTTATTACTTCATTAAGGAGAAACTAATACAGCCAAAACCATATGCCTCTCTCAAGGATGCCTCATTGATTCTCCATCTGCTCCGTTGGACTGTTCACAAAATCGCAAGCCTATTTAACCAGCAACGCTTGGCACACCACGAACTGCGACAGTGAGGCAAAGAGGGGAAGGCAGAGACGCAAGGGTGAGATGGAGATCATCAGCACAGTGCTGGGCTCAACGGCGGAGTACGCGGTCACCTTGGTGGCCATGGCTGTGGGGCTCCTGCTGTTGGGCTACTTGTACGAGCCATACTGGAAAGTGCGGCACGTGCCGGGCCCCGTGCCCCTGCCGTTCATCGGCCACCTCCACCTGCTCGCCATGCACGGGCCGGACGTGTTCACCGTGCTCGCAAGGAAGTACGGTCCTGTCTTCAGGTGACTGGCACCTCTGCTTACTGGTGCTTCTCTGTCTCGAACGCAGAGCTCAGAACTGGGAATACCAGGGTCTACTACCCGGTTAACTGGATCTAGTTTAATTTGCTCGTAGATTTCACATGGGAAGACAACCATTGGTCATGGTGGCGGATGCCGAGCTGTGCAAGGAAGTGGGCGTAAAGAAATTCAAGAGCATTCCTAACCGAAGCATGCCCTCAGCCATTGCCAATTCTCTTATTAATCAGAAAGGCCTGTGCTTCACAAGGTAGGTAGCAACTCAGATTGGTTCCTGTAAAGAGTGGAGTTTTTTTTTCTGCAATTTATATATCTTCAACCAAAAAAAATATATAAGACGCAAGTTTTTGACAGTCTTCAATAGATAATTTTGACCATTAATATTACTCCTATGATATTAATATCATATAGAATTATATTCAAATATGAAGATAAGGATATCACATATGTAACACTACATAAATATTTATTTTAATTAATAACTCCTTCTAAAACTTACATAGTTTTTTCATTGTAGTTTATTTCACAAAATTAACAAAACCACTATTTAACAAAATTGTGTATCGTTTATTTAACAAAAATACTTAAGTATTTACATAGTTTTTTCATCGTAATTTATTATTACAATATTTTTTTAATCATTAAGGATACAAGTATAAAAGTTTTATAAGTTGCTAATAAGTTGTTCGAATAAATATAAACATAAGTGAAAACATGAGTCTATTATTTTATTTAGTACATTGATAAACTACAAATATCTACTATTATAAAAATTAAAGATGTTTTTGCCGGTATTTTGATACGTCATCCGTGTTTGAGTCGGTATTTAAGATCGTTCGCTTTTGGAAATACAGTCCGTGTTAGAGTTGGATTTTAAGCTCGTTTGCTTTTAGAAATAAAGAGTCGTATAAAAAGTCTCTTTTAAAAAACTCTGTATGCTAACTTGAGATAAAAGTCGGACTACTAATTGCAACTCATGATTTTCTAAAGAAAAACAAGCGAATTCCTACAGTGAATTTTACCCTAGCTAAACCGTATAACAATAATAAGATTAAAATAACATTCACCAGTTGCAATGCACGTGCATTTTTCTATGAAGTAAAAGTAAAAGTATATATAATATACAACCCTTATTTCTATGTCATGCATGTCCATAAATTTTCACAACTCCATCACTACACATCGGGTGCTTTTCCTTTTTCAAGATGGTGCATATGATTCTATTTTTCTTCAAATAACATGGTACTATTTAGGCCTCGAGAGAGAAACATGATAGTTCCATACTTCCTTTTCATCCTTGCTTAATAATATAAGTAGTGTTTTTTCTCTGCTGCTTTGCAGCAAACCTAAATAAAAAAGTATAATTATATTTGATATATAACTCTTACTTTCTTGCATAAATATAAATGTATTTATATATTACTACATCCGTCCTAAAATATATTAACTTTTAACTATAGATCTCGACATGCACTTATGTAGATTCGGAACTCAAAATAGTTATATGTTGAGACAGGGGGAGCATATTATTATTAAGATAGCTCTAAAATGAGTTTCACCGCGTTTACTCTGGAGGCCTAAAAATTACCACATTTAATCGGACAAAAGGAGAAATATGTTAACCGTTAAATTGTGTTGGTCTAGAATACATCGGTGGAGATTTATTGATATAATTGTATACAAAGTACAATGTTAAATATGGTAGCATAAATCGACCCGTATAGAAACAGAATCAAAGTTGTATACAAATTCAACTCAATTTTTAAATCTAGCTCCGTGCAAATTGCACAGGAAAATCCTCTAGTTTCGTTAACCAGATCGAACAATCTCCACAGCCTGGCATATATGGTTTATAACTTGGTATCATTCCTAGTATTTGAACTCACATTTGCTATCTGATACTCTCTTTTTTCATATTATAAGTCACTCGTCCCAAAATATACCAAGCCAAGATTGGATGGGACACGGTATATTACCTCTGTCCAGATTTGTATCAGTAGCATGAGTCACATCCAATCCTGGTTGCTATATTTTGGGACAGAGCGAGCTACGGGTGAAAATGGTATGGAAATTTCCCATCCATACTGATACATTTTTTGCAAAGCTAACATATAATAATAATAATAATAATAATAATAATAATAATAATAATAATAATAATAATAATAATAATAATAATAATAATAATAATAATAATAATAATAATAATAAATTTATCGATTCTAAAATTTACTTTTCTAATTTCTGTCAGTGCCACATTGGAGTTGGCACTAAATATTTAAATTCATCAATATGAAAATTTGCTGACCGTTTTTTACAGTTCATAAATATTTTAACTAATTACAAATTGTTAACTTTCCGTTCATCATCTCTTTTTTGTCTGCATTTTTGCCCGTCAATGTGCTAATTTGGTTGAATCGGACTCGAGTTCACCAGAAAGATAAAAACTAGGGTTCGATAAACTCAAGTTCGAGCTTGATACGGGAGCGATTTTCCATGGGATTTCCTTCAATTTCTTGAGGGAAAAGATAGAGTATGAGATATAGATCAAAAGCCTTCAACTAATTTAAGATTATCTCCACGGGTTTAGTTGAATCGGATGCGGGATTGGGGTGGCTCGGCTGGAGCTTGAAGAAGCTAATGTAGCGACAGGAAGTTAAATTAATTAGACTTATTTTCCTAGGCGATCTAGGAGAACGCAAACTGGACTTTAACGGAGAAAGGAAACAGGGAAACAGGCTAGAAACAAAAAAGAGACAAAAGGGAAAGAATCTGGACTTTTTCATATTCGGCCCAAACCTAAAAGTGAGGATTTTGATTCCATTTTCTAATTAAATAATTGCTGAAATAATCTTTCGTTTATTTTGTGTTCGTGTTCCCAGACCTAGCTTTATCCCATGTGTGTTGGTAGAAAGAAAACAATTTGTTTTGTTAGCCGGTATGGGATCATGATTTGGATTAAATCTAATTATAAAGATAGAGCATATATTTGATAAATCTACATCATTATATTTAAACATGTATCAAAACTTTTTCTAGATCTACTATAATCAACGGTGTATATTTTTGTTTCAATTAATGTGTTGATTTCTAAGCCACACATGTGAACAAATATTCCTTTATTACTGTAATAAAATAATTTATAAATATGTGGAAAAAGCATATATATAGTTCTTCTACACGGAAAGAAAACATATATTACACTAGGTTATGAAAAAAATTGTCATTTTAAAGTTATTTAATATTTGGTGTACTTTCTTTTTTCCGTTGCAAACGTAGAAAAATGGCTGTAGTGCTGCACATGCAGGGGTTCGAGGTGGACGGCGTTGCGAAACATGATCATCTCCATCTACCAGCCGTCTCACCTGGCTAGCCTGATCCCCACCATGCAGTCGTGCATTGAGTGCGTGTCCAAGAACCTTGATGGCCAAGAGGACATAACATTCTCCGATCTCGCTCTCGGCTTCGCCACCGATGTCATCGGCCAGGCGGCGTTCGGAACGGACTTTGGCCTGTCAAAAATATCAGCATCTTCGAATGACGACGACATCGACAAGATCGCCACTGATACCAGCGCGGAGGCCAAGGCATCATCGGAGTTCATCAGGATGCACGTGCACGCGACCACGTCTCTCAAGATGGACCTGTCCGGCTCACTGTCCATCATCATCGGCCAACTCCTGCCATTCCTCCAAGAGCCGTTCCGGCAGGTGCTCAAGAGGATTCCCTGGACGGCGGACCACGAGATCGACCATGTGAACCTCGCGCTCGGGGGACAGATGGACAAAATCGTTGCCGAGAGAGCGGCGGCAATGGAGCGCGACCAGGCAGCGCCGCATGCGCAGCAGCGCAAGGACTTCCTGTCCGTCGTCCTCGCGGCGAGAGAGTCGAACAAATCCTGGCGGGAGCTTCTTACGCCGGACTACATCAGCGCGCTCACTTACGAGCACCTCCTCGCCGGGTCGGCCACGACGGCGTTCACTCTCTCCACGGTGCTCTACCTCGTCTCCAAGCACCCGGAGGTGGAGGAGAAGTTGCTCAGGGAGATTGACGGGTTCGGACCACACGACCATGCGCCGACGGCCGAGGATTTGCAGACCAAGTTCCCCTACCTTGATCAGGCATGCATGCCCTTCTTCGACATTGGTCGTATTTATGGTCTTCGATTGTGGAGTCGTGAATAGTAAGACCTGAATTTCTGACCGAGCATTGCACTTATCATGTGCGTACTATGCAGGTCGTGAAGGAATCGATGAGATTCTACTTTTTATCGCCATTGATAGCAAGGGAAACGTGCGAACAGGTTGAAATTGGAGGATATGCCCTTCCAAAGGTACTAGATCCGGCCAATAATCCAGAGTTCCAGACAGACTCTGCTTCGTTGTTTCCGTACTAGTATACCCTTGTTTTTTTCAGGGAACATGGGTGTGGCTGGCACCAGGAGTCCTAGCGAAGGATCCCAAGAACTTCCCGGAGCCAGAGGTATTCCGGCCGGAGCGGTTCGACCCCAACGGCGAGGAGGAGAAGAGGAGGCACCCATACGCGTTCATTCCGTTTGGGATCGGGCCAAGGGCGTGCATCGGCCAGAAGTTCTCCATCCAGGAGATCAAACTGTCAGTGATCCATCTGTACCGTAACTACGTGTTTCGGCACTCGCCCAGCATGGAGTCACCTCTCGAGTTTCAGTACTCGATCGTTTGCAACTTCAAGTACGGCGTCAAGCTTCGGGTCATCAAGAGGCACACTGCATAGGCACATCATCAGCAGAACTGTATATTTATCAGTTCGAGCTAAGCGTCTGCATTTAATACTGTGTCAAAACAAAAGAACTGTCAACGGTTCACTTCGCCACTGCTAAAATGGTACTCCTACTAGTATTGTTCTACCAGTCCGAAGTCCAACACAGGCACATAGCCCAGCTACGTTTAATGGGGTCTCTTGTAAAAAATTTGGAAAAAGTATACTTTGGCTCCCATAACTATCGCCTGAGTATGATTCATATCCTCCAACCACAAAACCGGGTATATCGACTCCTCCAACTATCAATACCGGTGCAAACAATGTCCCTCGATGGTTTTGAAGGTGGTTTTGGCTGACGTGGCGGTATTGACCAAGTTTTTATCCTACGTGACGCTTACGTGGTATTAGAATAAAAACAAAAATAAAAAAATATGTGGGACCCTTATGTCATTCAAAAAAAAAAGTATTGTGAGACCCACTGACATGTGGGACCCACCTGTCATCCTCCTGGTAAAGCGTGAGCAACTGTCTCAACACACGGAGCAGTTACTCATTGTGGATCACAGCTCTCATTGCGCCTCATCGTGTGCACCTCAACGCAAACACATTCCCCTACTTTGATCCATCTCGGCGGCGATGGCAATGAGAGAGGCGCGGTGGCCGAGCCACCCAAACAGGAGGCCGAAGCATCACTCACCAATCCGATCGAGCCAGAGACCGAGGCCACCCGAAGCCTCCCAATCACCGCAGCCCATGGCAAAACTGTAGAGTCCACTGATTGTGCTCCTCCTACTGCCACAATCTGGACATTGGCTCTTGCTTTGGCGACCACGGGTTCACAGCCACCATCGGCCTTGACAGCGGATGCAAGCAAGGATAGCGTCCGTCATATTCTGACCATAGTGACCCTCTCCACACCGACGGTGGCTCCCCGAGCTCTACCCCTAATGATGGTCACCGCCTCGCTCCATCCCCTCTCCACCACGTCGTCTCCTCCTCCAACCTCCCATGTAGGGCTCGTCGGTGAGGATATGAGTCGCCACCATCTTGCTCCTCTCCTACCAGCCGCCGCCCAACACCCCTCTTCTCATTGGTGAGCTCTTGGGGAAGAGAGAGGGGAGAGGTGGAGGGATGAGAAGAGAGGGTAGGTGGGGAGAGGTGCAAGCTCACTTACATGTGGGCACTATATGTTTTTTCTTTTTGCTAAATAGTATGTCACGCTAGTGAAATCAGTTCTCAATACTATTATGGGACCTAATTTAACCTGGTTTTGTAAGTTAGGGGTTAAGATTTTCAGTATTAAGCATACAATTTAAACTCAACGAAAAGATGACGGATATAAAATGGAACAAAGGGCTTGTTCATTGCCAAAAAAAAGCCTTACCATTTAACCAAAATTTGGTAATGCTAAAATTTTAGCAAGATCAAGATGTGAAGATGGTGTTTAGTCTAACACCTTACTAATTTTTGGTATAATTCTATGAGTAGAAGTTTCTAGATTACCAGACGTTGGTACGGATTGACAAGGTTGTGACGGTAAAGTGTCATTTAGTTTATTGTCTTATCAAAATTTGGCTAAAATTTGGTATGGTTGATTTTAGCAACAGGCCGAACAAGCCCTAAGGCCTCTTTCAGCCCATCTCATTCCACGATGGCCGAAAGGTTGCCCTTGTTTGCTCTTGCCAGCCCATTACAAGGCCTCTTGTTCAGTTGTTTTCATATTTGTGAACATTGATTTTGAAGGGAAAGTATAAAGGCGTTCAAGAAAATTGAGAAAAAATGTTTTTTTATGAAACCAAAAAAAAAAATCGCAAACATTTATTAGCGTTCGTAGGAGTGTGGAGCTATAAACCACAAATCAGTAGTATTGCTGGATACAGAATTACTGGTGATGAAAGGAAGTAGCGGATGATTTATGGCATTTCAACGCACTTGTTAATCCAGTTTCCATTAATTTCTCTCCATCCTACCAGTTAAGTACACATGGAATTTGTTAATATTATCAGTTACTCGATACAACAACTAAACACCACATCGCCACACATTAGAATTCAGAAACAGGGGTCAAACTATAAACTGGTACAAATCACTCTGGACAGTCGTCACAGCTTTGTGGTTTGTTTCACAACATGGTGAGGACGACCCCAATCTGGACGCGGTGACGAGCTCGGTGTACTTGGCGAAGAGCGCGTCGACGATCAAAGGAATTCGACTTGTGACAGTATACCTTGAAGTAACTTGTAGGATTCAAGACTTTGGTAAGGACTAAGGAAGTTGAAAACTTGTTAGTACCATCATAGCCTATTTATTGTTTTATAAGCCACAAACAAAATTTAATTTTAATAAAATATTAAAGTTAATTTTGTGTTCTTTCTTCTTAAATTTTTTTTAGCCTTGGTGGTCTTTTGAACTTATTAGAGATATGGAAAGTTTTACCCTTAAATTGATTTGTTTCTTTCTTTATATTTTATAGATTTGTTAATCTTACGTGAACAATTATTATGTGCGATATTGACATCCTTTACTATGTGGAAGTAACACTATTAAATTATTTTTCGCCATGTTTCATATTAATCACTGTATATATCTTCACATACATAAATTGTTTTTTTCAACAGTACTTTTTCTTCGTGAAATACAATAATTGTAAGCCTATATAGGATTGTGTCATTATGTATCTTAGTTTACTTAACATACCATTTTTAAAACGGGTTAAGAAAAACAGCTAAGATTGTTTTCTTGAGGCCCATAAGAACTTCACGGAGCCTAGCCAAGTATCGTCTCATAGTCATACTCGCATAGTCGCATGGTACTGCATACCAAATAGAAAAAGGGACAAGTGTCAGTAATTTGGTGCGGAATAAATCCACCAATCAGCTAGCGGCACATCCGTTAAGAGTATTACATCGATCATATTGATTGTCGATTAGTACACCTTATTATATACACGAGGACAAGAAACCTACTGAGTAGAATCTCGCCTGCTCCACCATTAGCATATAAAGTTTATTTTTTTTAAAAAAATACTACCTCCTTTTCAAGTTATAAGACGTTTTAACTTTGGTCAATCAAGTCAAACTGCTTCAAATTTAACTAAGTTTGTAGAAAAAAATATTAACATTTTTAACCTACAAATTTATTATGAAAATATATTCAATTATTGATTTAATGAAAATAATTTAATATTATAAATATTACTATATTTATTTATAAACTTAATTAAATTTAAAGTTGTTTGACTTTGACCAAACTTATAATCTGAAATGGAAGAGTAATATCTAAGGCATCAACACGTTTGGCAGCTACCTTCCTTATTTATTTATTTTTTTTGTCACACTGCACTCACTGGCTGCACGTCATTTGATTATGCATTTTCCGGCCCAGCGATATTTAATTAAGCATGTTTTTAGCAAACTTCTTCCTCGACCGGCACGTCCATCATCACACGTAGACTCAGAAATCTCGCTCAAATAAAATTGGTTGGTCGGAACCAGTGACTAACAACAAATACATCAGCCAAGCAGGACAAACTAATCCAACCAAAACGATGCCTCTCCATCGAATCCTGCGGGAACGGACCGTTTCACAAGCCTACTTAACCAACCATGCTTCGCAGTTGTCACAGAACGTCAACAGTGCGATAAATGATAGCAAGGCAAGAGGGAGGCAAGGCAGGGTGAGAGTGAGATCGCTGAGATGGACATCAGCGAGGTGCTGGGCGCAACGGCGGAGTGGGCGGTCACCTTGGTGGCCATGGCTGTGGGTCTCCTGGTGGTGGCCTACTTGTACGAGCCGTACCGGAAGGTTTGGCACGTGCCGGGTCCCGTGCCTCTGCCGCTCATCGGCCACCTCCACCTGCTCGCCATGCACGGGCCGGATGTGTTCTCCGTTCTCGCTAGGAAGCACGGTCCTGTCTTCAGGTGACTGCCTCCTCTGCTCGCAGATTCAGTTCTTCTAATTTGTTTTGCGTGGAGAGCATAGCTTAGGATAACAGTACCAACCAGTTAACTGGAATTCAATTTAGAGTAAACTACATTCATGATGCATAAATTTATGATGTGGATGCAAATATGTGTAATAAATTGCAAAGTACTCTTCGGTGAAAAACTTATCTAGTCTGTGCAAACCTAGATTAAAACAACACACCCAGTGTGAACCTAGATCAAAGTTCATACACATAGCACAATTATTCAATTTACTTGCAGATTTCACATGGGAAGGCAACCACTGATCATTGTGGCGGATGCGGAGCTGTGCAAGGAAGTGGGCGTGAAGAAATTCAAGAGCATTCCAAATCGAAGCATGCCCTCCCCCATTGCCAATTCTCCTATCCATAAGAAAGGGTTGTTCTTCATAAGGTAGCATCGAGAGTGGATTCTAAACTCTAAGAGGGGACATTACTCCGTGGTTTACATGTCATCCAAATAGTTATGAAAAAATTGAAAAGATTTAAGAAGATAGATCATTGCACAACACATGCAAGTTAAAATTCAATTTCTACGAGTTGCAGCAGAAAAAGCAAATTAAACTTTCTAGTTAACGTATATTCGCAGTTAAATTTATTTTTTCATTACATCTTGTATAAGTTAAATGTGATCTTGCATGTTTGTAAAGTGATTTATCACATATTAATCTATCTTATTGATTTTTTTCTAAGTTTTTCATAATTATTTAGATAACATGTAAACAATAAAGGATTGTCTCCTCCATAGTTTAGAGTTTCCCAGGTAATATCAAGTATCAACTAGCTGGCTAGCAGCAGAGACTAGCTATTTCCCATAAAATTTGGCCGAATTTCATTGAATATTATGCTAGTTGTGTCGAAAAAATTGATTTGGGTTAAATTAAAGGAAACAACATCATGGCTGCTGCACCGCAGGGGACCGAGGTGGACGTCGATGAGAAATATGATCATCTCCATCTACCAGCCGTCGCACCTGGCCAGCCTGATCCCCACCATGGAGTCGTGCATTCAGCGTGCGTCCAAGAACCTCGACGGCCAGAAGGAGATCACCTTCTCCGATCTCTCTCTCAGCCTCGCCACCGACGTGATCGGCCTCGCGGCGTTCGGCACGGACTTCGGCCTGTCAAAGCTGCCAGTCACACCTGACGACAGCAACATAGACAAGATCGCCGCTGATACCAGCGTGGAGGCTAAGGCATCGTCGGAGTTCATCAAGATGCACATGCACGCGACCACATCTCTCAAGATGGACCTGTCCGGATCGCTCTCCATACTCGTCGGTATGCTCCTACCGTTCCTCCAAGAGCCGTTCCGGCAAGTGCTCAAGAGGATTCCCGGCATGGGGGACTACAAGATCGACCGGGTCAACCGCGCGCTGAAAACACATATGGACAGCATCGTCGCCGAGAGGGAGGCGGCAATGGAGCACGATCTTGCGGCGTCGCAGCAGCGCAAGGACTTCCTGTCCGTCGTGCTCACGGCGAGGGAGTCTAACAAGTCATCGAGGGAGCTGCTCACGCCGGACTACATCAGCGCGCTCACCTACGAGCACCTCCTCGCCGGGTCGACCACGACGGCGTTCACCCTCTCCACGGTGCTCTACCTCGTCGCGAAGCACCCGGAGGTGGAGGAGAAGTTGCTCAAGGAGATTGACGCGTTCGGCCCCCGCTACTGCGTGCCGATGGCCGACGATCTGCAGACCAAGTTCCCGTACCTTGATCAGGTATGTGTTGCGTATATTTTCTTGTGTGTTCATGGGTTCGTGAGACCAATTTTTTTTTTTCTAACCACTGCACTTTTCACCTGGTTATGAATGCAGGTTGTGAAGGAATCGATGAGATTCTACATTATGTCGCCATTGCTAGCCAGGGAAACACTTGAACAAGTCGAAATTGGAGGATATGTCCTCCCAAAGGTACTAGATCCAACGATCTATATATAAGTACATCAAGGAGATGCTCCGGTGCTTCCTACTAATAATATTATACTATCTGTAGAAATGATTTCAACGGTTCGTTATTAATAGTAAATTAGTAATGATTTACTAATATAATGATTGGAGGTAACTTTGTTATTTATGCTTGACTAGATTGATCTATGGTCATCAATTGCACTGGCATTGTTTATATTCCATCGATAAAAGCTAAAAAAAGAAAAAAAAAGGTTTAATCACTGCTAAATGACAATTATGCCCCTTCTCACCTATTTTTTTTATAATAATACCCCTCCATGTTTATACTGTTGTTAATTGGGTGGTAATATAAATAGATATAAGCCATTCGATCAAATAAAATTAATGATTCAAATTATTTTCTACTACCAGTAGATAGCACTGTAGTGGGATTCATTCATTAAAGAGCAAAGTCTATGTAGGAATATAATGGATTACAAATGCATTTGTTTTTCAGGGAACGTGGGTGTGGTTGGCACCAGGAGTGCTAGCGAAGGATCCTAAGAACTTCCCGGAGCCAGAAATATTCCGGCCGGAACGGTTCGACCCCAATGGCGAGGAGGAGAGGAGGAGGCACCCGTACGCGTTCATCCCGTTCGGGATAGGACCAAGGGTGTGCATCGGCCAGAAGTTCTCCATCCAGGAGATCAAACTGTCAATGATCCACCTCTACCGCCATTACGTGTTCCGGCACTCGCCTAGCATGGAGTCCCCTCTCGAGTTCTAGTTCGCGATCATCTGTGACTTCAAGTATGGCGTCAAGCTTCAGGCCATCAAGAGGCACCATGCGTAGGCACATCAGAACTATTAGTTACTACTTTTGTCCTAAATATAACCATCTATAATTAAATATGACATATTCTAATATTATAAATTACCAATTTTAGAATGAAGAGAATATCAATTATTCACTTGGATGTCAGGTGAATTCATGTCACCGTGCATGTCTACCTCACCATCGCGGCCTAGAATTGTTCCACCAGTCCGAAGCCCAATATAGGCATACGACCAGCTACGTTTAATGGGGAATAAGTCCACTTTACGCATCTTTCTGACGGATTTAAATCATATTTATGAACTGCAATACGGAAAATCTTGATCCCCAACTTACAAAACCTGGTTAAATTAGGTCTCATGGCAGTATGAAACTATAGATGGCCGGTTTCACTGACGTGATGAATTAACTGCAGTCAACATGGGACCCACATGTCAGGCTCTTGCCTTCTTCCTCTAACATGCTTCTCTCCTCTCTTCCCATATCTCTCCACATCTCCTCTTGGCGGTGGGCGGCGGGGAATGAGCAAGCGCAGGCCGTGACCGACTCGAGAGTAGGGAGGGGAAGGCCGAGGCGCCCCTCCCCCACGAGCTCGAGCTCAAGATACGCAGCTACCGTAGGTGGAGAGAGAAGGTGACAACCATGCTAGGTTCAGAGCAAGGCAACAATCGTGGTGGCAATGATCACGAGCTTCTTAAACCGGCACGCTTGCTTCAGCATCACAACCATGCCTCCCCAGTGAAGCGCGAGCAACTATCCTAACACACAGAGCACTTACTCATTGTGGATCACCGCTCTCGTAGCGCTTCATTTCGTGCTCCACGATGCAACGCGATCACCAAGCCATGGGGAAGGCGCGGTGACCCATTCTCATACCTTGATGGATCTCAGCGACGATGGCCATGAGGGAGGCGCTATAGCAAAGCCACCCAAACAGGAGGCCAAAGCATCACTCACTACTGATACGATCGAGCTAGAGGCCAAGGCCACCCGAAGCCTCCCAATCACCCTGCCCATGGTGAAACCATGGAGTCCACTGATTGTGCTCCTCCTACTGCCATGATGTGATCGTCAGCTCTTGCTTCGGCAACCACAGGTTCACTGCCACCATCGCCCTCGGCAGCGGTTGCGAGTAAGGACAGCGTCAGCCATATTGTGACATCCTGGCCCAATTAGGATGAGGCATGTATGACCCATGAGAGCTGTGTGTGCATGTTTAGTACCACCTTGCTAGTTTAGTAAGGGTGAAACCAACTTATAAGGCATCTTCCCTCCAACCATATCTCACTCCCGGGTTAACCTTTTTACACAAAACGAAGACGAAAGTATAAGTGGAGTGGTATGTGTAAGTGGGCCCGCCCGTCGGATGGACTGGCTACGCGGTTCTGGAGGGAGGGTTGTTACACATATTCTAGCCGCAGTGACCCTCTCCACACCGATGGCGGCTCCCCGAGCTCCACCCTTGACGGCGGTCGCCCCCTCGCTCCATCCCCTCTCCACTGCGCCATCTCCTCCTCCAACCTCCCACGTAGGGCTCGTCGGTAAGGATATGAGCCACCGCCATCTTGCTCCTCTCTCGCCAGCCACCGCCCACCGCCCCTCTCCTCACCGGCGAGCTCTTGGGGGAGAGAGAGGTTGAGGTCGAGGGATGAGAAGAGAGGGTAGTTGGGGAAGAGGTGCAAGCTCACTTACATGTGGGCCCTATATGTTTTTTTATTTTCTTTTCACTGACTTTCTTTCGCTGACTAGTATGTCATGCCAGTGAAACCAGCCCTCAATACTGCTATAGGACCTAATTTAACCCGGTTTTGTAAGTTAGGGGTTAAGATTTCCAACTCAACAAAAAGTGAGGGATATAAATGGACTTATTCCTTAATGGGCCTCACATACAAAAACAAAGGGTTTGTTCAGTTCATTGCAAAAAAGACCTTACCATTTGTTGAAAAGGCAAAATTTGGTGATGCTAAAATTTTAGCAAAGATCAAGCTGTGAAGATGGAGTTTAGGGCCTGTTCACTTTGATGTCATTTTCAACCTTACCAAATTTTGATAAAGTTGCTAAAAAAGTGGCTACATTTAGTTTGCTACCAAATTTTGGTAACTATATAAGAAATCATGCCAAAATTTTGGCATAGTTACCAAAATTTTGGTAATGACAAATTTTGATAGGGTTTTTTTTGGCATCAAAGTGAACAGGCCTTTAGTTTGACACCTCAACAATTTTTGATATAGTTATATGAGTAGAAGTTTCTAGAATCCCAAATGTTGGTAGGGATTGGCAAGGTTGTGATGGTAAAGTGTCATTTAGTTTATTGCCTTACCAAAATTTGGCCAAAATTTGACAATGCCAAAATTTAGTATGGTTGATTTTAGCAACAAACTGAACAAGCCCTAATGCCTCCTTAAGCCCATCTCATCCCACGATGGTCGAAATTTGTTGCCCTTGTTTGCTCTTGCCAGCCCATTACAAGGCCTCATGTTCAGTTGTTTTCACATTTGTGACATTAATTTTGAGGGAAAGTATAAAAAGCGTTAAAAAATTTGCGAGAAAAAAATGTTTTTTCTTTTTACGAAACCAAAAAAAAGTCGCAAAACTTTATTAGCGTTCGTATGAATGTGTAGCTAGCTATAAACCACAAAATCAGTAGTATTGCTGGATATTGAATTACTGATGATAAAGGGGAGTAGCGGACGATTTATGGCATTTCAACACACTTGTTAATCCACTTTCCATTAATTTCTTTCCATCCTACCAGTTAAGTACACATGGAATTTGTTAATATCATCAGTTACTCAATACAACAACTAAACACCACATGGTCACACATTAGAATTCAGAAACATGGGGTCAAACTATAAACTGGTACAAATCGCTCTGGTCAGTCGTCACAGCTTTGTGGTTTGTGTCACAACCTGGTGAGGACGACCCCAATCTGGACGCTCTTCACCTCCTCCCTCTCCATGGACGCGGTGACGAGCTCGGTGTACTTGGCGAAGAGCGCGTCGACGATCTCCGGGCCGAAGTGGTGGCTGAGCATGGACTCCTGGATGGCCCTGATCGCCATCGACACCGTCCTGCCGTCCCTCCTCGCGTCGCCGCTGCTGCTCAGGTTGATCTCGTACGTCTGCACGTAGTCCATCCTGAACGATCCCTCCCGCCTCACCTCCTCCTCGATCTCCCCTATCGACGGCGCGTAGAACGGCACGTTGTACGCGTCCACCTTGTCCTCCTCGACCAGCCCCTGCACCCACCCATTGCATTGCCGTCAGGTTCAGATTATCAGTTCAGAGTTCTGAATACTGATGAGTATCAGGCTATCTGCTCACCTGTGCGACCAGGGAGGCGAACGACTCCGAGAGGAGCTCCCAGAGGAAGGTGGTACGCCTGTCGATATAGCCGTCGGCCTGCCTGCCGAGCATGGCGAGGACCATCCGGCCGCCGGAGAAGACCTCCGCCGCGCGCGACTTGAGGAACAGGCTGAAGTCTCTCTGAAACTGCCTCAGGTAGGCCACTGGCACGGCCAGGGGGCTCGTGCTTGATATGTACATCTTTCCCTTGTTGATCGGCCTGTTCATCTCGTCAAGAAGCCCAGAAGGAACCTGAAGTATTTAGAAAATTTCCCACTTAAACACCGGTTAATCGTTAGATCAAACAATGCAACAGTGTCAGAGGAGTTAAGTACCTGGGAGAGCCAGTGCAGGCTGGAGCAGGAGCAGACGAAGTGAACGCTCTTGGCCGGGAAGAGCCTGCCGTAGAAGGAGCCCGGGACGCCGGAGAGGAACACCATGGGGCGGCCCCACTCGTCGGACTTGGCGGCGGCCTTGAGACGGTCGGTGAACTCCGGCAGGCTGAAGAAGATGGTGTTGAAGTCGTTGGTCGGGAGGTCGTTGAGGAGCACCGAGAACTCCGGCGGCGGCCGCGACGACCGGCAGCAGATGCGGCCGATGCTCCCGATGATGTCCTCCGCCAGGCACAGCGCGTTCGGCCCCGACGAGCACCCGAGGTCGGCGACGGCGAACCTCTCCGGCATCTGCGACAGGTACACGTCCGCCGCCGAGTTGGTGATGAGGCTCTTCAGCGTGTCCATGCCCCTCCTCTGCAAGAATGGCCACGCCATGGCTCAGAGCCAGAACTCGGAAAAAAATGCATGCACGGATCAAAAAGAATCAATGGCCATGAGCGGCAAGGAAGCAAGGTGCTCGCCTGAAGCGACGAGTTCTGCGCGTAGCTGGTCTCGCCGAGGCCTTCCTTCATGTGGAGGACGGTCTCCACGTTCATGAACGGCAGCTTGTCGGAGCAGTGGAGCAACGAGGACGCCATTGCCTCCAAGAATTCGAAGTCCCTGTCCCTGTGATCACGCAATGCAGTGCGTACATGTTCAGGACTCTGCTTTTGTACACCCATTTCGCACAAGATATTAAAAAAAAATACAGTATCTACCTAGGCCACTCGTGCAGAGAACTGTAGAACGTAGCAAGCTACTGACGAACAATTGCTACACGCGATGTGCAAAAGAGATTCTTCAGAATAATGTTTGTTTTCTGAACAAAAATTCTTCAGAATAATGTGATAGTAATATGGGCATCTAAGTTTAGGCCGCTTTATGCAAACAAGGCGCGATTTGTCTAACTCGGATCTCCTTTTTGGCTCAGTTTGGTGTGACCGACCGAGCAACCGGGTTTCAGATAAAGTACAATTCTGTCAGTCTCTTCAAGGACATATGGGCTCGGATTCGATATTATCATATCACGTACGGCGAAAGATTGACTCCCGGGAGGGAGAAAAAACACAACGTGAAAGTGCGTGAAATGCTACAGGAGATAAAAGCTGGCGTAAAACCATTGGTCCAAACTTTTTCTTCCCACCCAAAAAAAAATGAAGGAAAAAAAAACTTTGAGTCATGCATGCAACATGACCTTTGTGCTTAATTGATACCCTGTCTACTATGGCTCCTAAACACAACTGCAAGTTGCAAACGATCTGCTTCACACTTGAGAGAGCATGGAAAATCCATGTTTGAACAGGCAAAACAGATGCAGTAAGATTTTTACAAGTGAAAGATGGAAGGTTCCTGATGCAATGGGTGCAATTGGAAATGAGTAGGTAACACAACACAGGCTGCTGCTTGGCCTAACTAAACAGACGCATAAGCTAGCTAGCAGTGATCATCCTCTTGATTCTTGAAAGCTACATGTGCACTAGTGACTTTATACAAGTGATGGCGAAGAAGACAATGCCATTCGCATGATAGTATGCGAACTGCCATTTCGGAGCCGAAATTAACCAGCCATTTGAGGGAAAATACATACCTAAGGGTTTCAGACAGGATATCTGCCGGCCCGGGCTCCCCACCCAAGCAGCCCACTAGTTAGCTAGCAGAGAAGAAACCTTGGCCTCTGCCTTGGCATCTGCAGTGCTCGCTCCTCGGGGTATTTATAGGCAGGCCAACGGAATCAGAATCGCTGGCTCGATCATGTGGCTCCAGCCATTGGCAAGCGTCTCCTCCCAACTTGCACGAACTGTGCACGCACGCACACACATAAGAGGAACATGGCTGCTAGGTCGGGGGAGAGAGAGAGAGATAAATATCAGCTGGCTCGCATTGCCTATATGTCCCTATGAACTTACGATGATTTGCTAGTAAGATATTGTCATCGTTATTATATCATATGATACGATACGTGCATATGGAATGGACGGGTTGGGTGCGATACGCTGCACGCAGCTGGTGTCACGGCGCATCCATTCGTCTCGTGCCCCTTTTTTTTTTCCCCTTTTGTTTTGTGGGAATACGTGGTGGCGTATCGCGGCCGGACAGGTAGAAATCGGAGGACCATAAGCTTAAGGTGGAGCCGCGTGCGTTAGCGCGGGGTAGTGGAGCGAGCTTTTTTTTTTTCTCTCGGCTTTTTTCTCCCGTTCTCCGTGCTGAATCCGGAATCCCACACCTACAGCGCAGCGGCGGGGGGGAGAGGGGGGAGGGGGGGGGGGGTCCCTGGTCCCCTGCCTCCGGTCGTACCCCGCGCGGTGGCCGGTGCTTTTTCTCTGCTTTGCCTTTTCCTCCTCCCCTGCAAATCGGCTGGTCACACGAGAGCAGAGCACCCAAACCACACGAGTGTGGTGCTGTGCGAGTGCAGGGGCATGCAGGCAGCTGCTGTCAAGTTGCGTGACGGCTGACGTCTCAAAGTTCATGCACTCCTCGAAAGGGAAGTGACTGTTGTTGCTGACTGCCTACGATGCTTAGGGCATGCACAGTGTGATGACCCGGCAAGTGCCCCCAGCCCGGTGCCACGTCAAGAGCCTCTATAGTACAAGAGTGAGCAGTACTATACATATACATAAGGTACTACAGATGACCGACCTGCATCCATCTGTGTCGCAGCACGATCCTAAATGAAACCATGCCCCCACAGAGCCACTTGTGCCTGTAGAGGACACTCGCGCCTCGTCAAGGCGAGGGTGGGGGGCACGTCTCGCGCTGGTGTTAACTGGCTCTCTGTTGTCCTGCATGTGGTCCCCCCCCCCTACCCCCAACCCCCTCACATGGAGCTCGAGCAAGAATGTGGTAGTGGCGCGGCAAGATCTCGAGCAGGGAGGTGACCATGGTGATGATGGCTAAGAGGGACGTACCAGGAAGATGGTGAGGACAAGGAAGAACATGACAGCGATGATGACCTCGAGCTTGCCAATCCCAAGTCTTCGCCTCACTCGCGTTGCCGGGAGCTCGTCGCCGGCAATGGCTGCCCTGATTTGCATCTTTTCGATTTGTTCGTCGTTGTCTCGATCTTCTCATCGTCTACCATTTGTGCCCGCCTTGATCTACTCGTCAGCACCCCACTTGTCAGCGTCCTGTCAACACCTTGATCTGCTCATCGTCAGCTTGCTTCGCCCCAACCCTACTCAAAATCGAAGACAATGGCCGACAGAGCTGAATCGGGGTTCGTCACCGAATCTTGGTTGTTAGCTACTCTACAATCTACTCCCTCTATTTCTAGATACATGGCATAAAGACTTTTATCCTATTGAGCAAAGTTTAAGGACAAAGTAAAATATTCTCTTTCAGTTGTCTCGTTTATCAAATTGTAAATTTTTGAATTGCCTGAATTCCCTACATAAATATCTGATTAGCTGACAATGCTTGGATCTATTTTTTATTTTTTTTCTCGAATGCAATGTTTGGATTTATGTGTATTGGAATCAGTGTTCCATAAATGTTTATACAGTACATAAATTTAACTCTCATAAATACTTATATTTGAGGACAAATGAAGTAAAAGCCTAAAACCATTTAACCCTGGTTTGTCCTTCCATTTTGTTGTTTTGCTTGTAAAACATGAACAGATGATGTGAGTTGGCCGTTTCTCTTGCAGTGAATACTTTTTGTAACGAATCGGCGAGTCGTCAATTTCATTTAATAGAGAAGAAGAAAACTGTACATATCAAAAAAGAAAGGAAAAAAATGTACAGCCTCAAGACCTTTGGTCCAAGCTAACTAAAATGTAAGCATTGCACCGAGCTTTTTCACACCCGTCAGGACCCACGTTTTGGTCTCCTCCTTGATTTTGGCCAGAAGACTGGGCGCCAAGAGCTCCTTATGTGGGAAGGTCCTACGATTCCTTTCGTTTCATATCTCTCAGGCAATTAGCAGTGTTAGTGTGTGTAGTGCCTTTCTTTGGTGCTTCTTTTATGCTTGAAGTATTCTCTCACCACTCTAGCACTATCGATGCTTGCTGCCACTGGGTAGGGTCTAGCTGACCGTATGTTGTCCAATCCGCTAGAGCCGCCTAAGTTCTTGTGTATATGCACCCTGCAAGGAGGTGGAGGGCCATCTCCTGGGTCTGTCAACGTAGGGGGCAGATAGAGCCATTTGGCTATCCTCAAGTTGCCAACCTGTCTGAGGTCTAGACTTTATTTTGGATGGCCAGCCTGGTGTAGTTTGCACTTATGCGGTGCCCAGGCTGGTCATTCCTGGGCAATCTCATCCCAGCCTGGTGAAGTTTCAAATCAGAGACGTAAAGAAACATATGGCAAACACCATCTATATAACTGTTCTGTACTCTATAAAAAGTAGTGATGGTGGTAAGTGGTGATGAATTGGACACCATCCCCATCACTAACACTCTATCCTTTTAAAATGAAGAAATGGCATGTAGAGTCAGAGAATCCGCATGTCAGCTATCCCTACTACCTACTCTCTAATTATTATGGGAAGAAAAAAGACTGAGGAGCTAGATGGCTTACATATTTGTAACAAATATAAAGATGTAAACGCAAAATAATGATGGGTTGATGATACATTTTATTAATTAAAATTTCATTGCAACGGACGAGCAATATGCTAACGTAGAAAGCAGGAGACATTTCCTGCGACCCGGCTAAAAAGAGAAAGCAGGAGAACTACACACTAACTGTTCACGAGTTAGCTGGAGTTGTCATAGTTCCAGTCATTTTCAGGCAAGAATTATCTTTACGCTCGCGCGAACTTTATTCTTGAAGAAGCAAATAAACACATAATTTCATATACTGATACACAAGAAAGCCTAAACCCTTTACATTAGGTAGGCTTTATGTTAATCACACAGTGAAAATCTGTGGACTAACATCATATCAGGAAAAGTAAATTCTGAGAACCAACAAGAATCTTGTCTGCACTTATGAAAAGCAAGGACAAACAATGTAAAAAATACTATAACTTGGCTAGCTTTTACAGTTGAAGTTTAGCAAAGGCATTTACACAAGTACTGACATAGACTAGACAAAAGAAATTCCAGACATATAGGCTTAGCTAAATAGCTAATAGGCATCTTCCTTTTGTATTTCAGGTAAAGCAGAACAAGCAAAATGCGAATTCTGGCCTAGCAAATGCGTTACAACGGCCACATACATTACTGCAAGTGTCTAATGCCCTTTAATTTGACAACACATTTTAAATTCTAGATATGGCCGATATATTCCACAATTTTTGTCTCTAGATACAATATTTAAGGTATCAATGCATAACACTTTGTCCACTCAGGACACTGCGTATGACCTCTGAAAGTTGCAAAGTGTCAGCTACTCAGCTTACCAAGCTGAAAACAAGACCGGTTTTACTCATCTTTTCCTTTTTTTAAAGCACAAAGTACAACTGCTTTATTCCCTTGAAATGGGGAAAATTTACAGTAGTTCAGAAGGCACTGCTGCATATAAGAGATGCAGTTGACAACACTTAATCAGATTATCTTGAAAACATATAAGAAAATAACATCGCACTTGCTTGCAATAGAGAAGAAACATTGAAGATTTTGTTGACATAAACTTTCATTGGCCAGTTAACTCAAAAAATCACAGCACCTCGTTATGTTATGTGCTCTGCGATTCTGAGAACAAGATTGTCAAGACTGAAAGCAAGCCCCTTTTTTTTTGCGGGGAAAAGCAAGCCCTTTGATAGTCCAGCCTTTTTCTTTAGAAATTTTATGGTTGTTGAGGAAGTACCTAAATTTTATATTAGAAATTTTGGTATCTGAAAGTACCAAGTTTTATAACATTTCTGTACCTTCTTAAAAATGATAATATTACCCTTTCCGAGAGCAAATATCTACATTCAAACTGTCGGCATTATTTGTTTTGTCGAATTGTCGTTATTAGTGCCGATTTTTTTCTTCTAAACTCGCATGAAGATGATAGCGTGTGAATGCAAATTGGTAGGCGTCATTGTAAACAACCCGGCCGACTAATAGGAATCGGTTCGGTGCAGGTAATATATTAGTACCAAGTTGGCACGAAAAAGCAGATACTGAAATGGTAGGAACTGTACGCGAAGCATATGCTGGTGCTGGTGATAGAAGAGGTGGTGGTTCTTTTTGGATTCTCATTGAGGCCTTTCCCCTGTAGTGGCGCATGGTAGGGCTCAGGGTCAATTGGGCCGGTGTGGTTGTTTGTAGTGTTCACCAGGTGAAAAGCTTCTTCGTTAGCTAGGTAGCCATTGCATGCGCACTATATATGCCTAGTACTGTACTGATCAGTGTTATAACATGATTGCCATTTGAAAAGCGTCATTCATGCTTACTCTGTTCTAAAATATAGGTATTTCCAGGTTGTTTCTATTTAGTTATCTCAGTGGTCAAATTTTGAATTTTAGTTTGCTTAAATAACCCCTTTCCAAACACCTGATTAGCTATAATTTTTTGTGCATTGAAATCAGAGAAGAACACTTGTATTGTGATAAAAAAATAAATTCTAAACATATTTATATTTTGAAACGAATGAATTATAGTATGGAAATGCAGTAGCAGCAAGTAGCTAAGCTGCTCTACTCCAAGCTTCTTTTTGACACTAGCATAGCGACCCTTCAGGCTAGCCGCTCTGATAGAGTTGCGTGAATCTGGTTAGTCATCGATGAGGCGAGGGCCCTGGTTTTTGTAGTTTCCACACATTCATTCTGTTGGCTCACAATCGCAGAGAATATTAAGACTTTATGCTCGTGCACAGTATAATATGTATGTAGCTTATATAGGGCATTCGGTCCATCGTCTTTTACAGTTCTCTGATGTAACGGACGAATACATGCT